AGTCCTGTGTCAGCCTCAGGACCTTTGTGTTTGCTCTTTTCTCTCTTCTCTCCTGGCATGGCTCACTGAATATGGGTGAGTATGGTTTGTGCCCTGGAAGTCCATATGTTCAAGGTCTGAGGGTGGCACTGCTAAGAGGCAACGGCACCTATAGCAGGTAATGTGTTTGGGGGACTCTCTAGGGCTGGGGGGGTGCCCTTGAAGGGGCCTATGGGGCCTCACTGCTTCCTCTGCCTCTGTTTTGCTCATTACTTTGCAAGGAGACTAACAGTTTTGCTCCACTGCATACACCCACCATGATGTGCTGCCTCACTACAGGCCCAAAGCAAGGGGGCCAATTAGGCATGAGAGGAACCTCCAAAATTTTGAGCTAAAACAAACTTTTCCTCTTTGTAAATCACTTCTCTCCAGTATTTTGTTACAGTGATGGAAAGTTGCCTGATACAGATGTTAAGAGCTTGAGCTTTGGTGTACGATGTGGTTACATCTTGTGTTGGCTGTGTGGGCTTGGGCACACTACTCTGCTTGTCTGAATCTGTGCTGTGAAGTGCAGACAGAGAGATCTTATGGCAGCACATTGTGAGCCCTCAAGAATGGTCCATAGCTAGTAGACATTTCCAAATGTTATCTAACGGTCCTGCTATGGATTAAGGAAATTCTGCGGCATCCATGGGTGACATCCAAAAGGATGTGAAAGAAACAATCTCTTGACACAGAAAAGGGTTTAAAGTTGACTCCTAATCACTTATCTCATCATTACGGGCATATAATGCATGCTCATAAAAAATCCAAGCAACATTGTGGTGCTGCTCACAATAGCCAGGCTGTGGAATCAGCCAGGGTGTTGTCAGATGAATGGGGAAAGAAACTGGTGCGTACACACGGGAGCATCAGCGAGCCACGAAGAAGCACGAAGTCACCTCACCCGCAGGAAAATGGATGGAACTCAGAGATGTCATGTTAAGCAAAATAAGCCAGACATAAGGATACGTGTCACATGTTTTCTCTCCTATGTGGAAATTTAAAAAGTAAAGACAAAGATGACCTAAAAGTTAAAAGAGGAAACTGCTAGGGAGGCAGAGCTGGGGAAAGAAAGGAAGGGAGAAGGGAAGTTGGATGCAATCAAAGCACAGTATACGATAGACAGAAGTGTCACGGTGAAAGCCATTACCTTGTAGAATGAGTATGTGTTAAGGAAAAGCTCAAGCAGGCCGTGGAGATAGTTCAGCAGTCTGAGTGCCTGCCTAGGCAAGAGCAAGGACCTGGGTTCGATCCCTGGTACCATATGTCGTGAGGGCCCTGCCTTCAGCACACCAAGCAGGCCACCAAGACTGGGCATAGTGGTACATGCCTGTAATCCCATCGTTGGGGAGGCTGAAACCCGTAGGATCACTGAGTCTGAACTGGTTAGTGAGACCCTGTACCAAACACACAAAATAAAATAAAATAAAATAAAATAATAATAATAATAAAAGCTCAAGCAACAAAGAAAAAAATGAAAGTCCCTTCTATCCTACAGTTTCTCATCTAAAGTTCATGCTGTTTTAAATGAAAAAGGCAGGTGAATAATAGGCCAGTATGAACTCACCTTTTAAAAATAAAAAATGTTACGATGTACTTAGGAGGAAAGGCCTGTTAAGCGTGTTTGGTGGGAAGGTGGAGATTGCTAGTATTGTTCACAGCCTCCTTGGCTTTTCAGGGTCTCTTCAGTGTCCATGATGGCTGACCATTTTTGAAGTTTTTTACAGTCTGAAAAATCTGTCACCCACTCCCTGCTATCATCTGGCTACTTGCTTTCCAGGGACTCTTGTGAAGACTTAGATGTTGTGCCAGGGGGCCCCAGTGTGAGCACCCTGGATTCTGGTAGAGCTGACACCATGCCCAGGCTCAGTGAACATCAAGAATGGGAGGGATGTTTGTTTTGTGATTCTGGGGTTTGCTGAGACACGAAGGGGTTCTGCATGGCCAAGGAGAATGTGTAAGTTTGGAATTGAAGTGTACAGTGGGACACTTGGGACAAAGCAAAGATAAAACCCAGCAGCTCACACTGACTTCAGAAATAAAGGTAGTTTATTAGTATATGTAATTGAAATGCCTACATCCCCTAAGTTGCAGGCATAGCTGGATCCGTGTGTTCAAATGATTCTTAGTCTCTCCAAGCTATCTTCCTTTGCTGGCCTCTAGCTGAGATGGGTTCCTGCTATGCGATGCTCAGATGACTGCTGAGTGGCTCTGGGTTCATACCCCAGACGCTCAGCAATTCTAGCAGACAGGAATTCACAATTCCAGGGAACGCAGAAAATGTCAGAGAGGGCCTGACTGGCCAGACATGGGTTTCCCGCTCACTTCTGAACCATACACCGAGGTACTCATTGGTTAGTGCTGAGTCATGGAGCCTGTCTAGCCCCAAGAGTATGGTGTCAACTCCACCAGAATCCATGGTGGAGGTGGAGGGGGTTCTCACAGGACAGTGTGGGGCTCTTGGTGGGGTGGGGTGGGGCTGCTAAGCAGAGCTCCCTTGTCAGCTGGTTGGGAACTCTACTCCACATGCATGGAATCGCCTGGTCAGGAAAGCCGGATTCCTCGCCACACCCTTCCCTCCGCTCTTCATGAGGGTGGTGCTACTTGGGCAGGCCTGGGGAGGTAGGAAGTGTCTTTTCCAGGGATCAGAAGAAATAACGAAAAGACTTAGGAGCCATGGCCATCCATTTCTGGGCCTCGGTAACCTCATCTGGAAAGGGGAGCCCATCTGGCCAGGGACTGCAGCTTTTAGATTGTGCTGGGTATTTTATGGATGAAATGACTGGAGTATGGCTGCTTCTCCCTTTCCAGGGACAAGGAAGGTTTCTTAGTGGATTCCAGTTGATTTCTGGGACCTGCTGGGTGAGGATAGTATTATTTGTCTGGGAGGGGCCTGTTGGCTTGGCTAAAAGCCAAGGGGAGGGTGGGAGCTATTTCTGGCCAAGCATGAGGTGGATGCAAAGTGTGGGGCAGGAGATATGGGGCACTTGGAGGAGAAACTCGAGCTGGGGCTGAAGCCCAGGGTCTAGTGCTGCTGGGTAAGGCTCCGAGTGAGGCCCCAGCAGCTAGAAGAGTAGCGAGTAGGACAGGAATGTCCCTACGCCCAGACACCTGTCCTCAGTATGTGGACCTTTGACCCAATCCCACAAATACTCCTGGAAAGAAAGCAAGGAAATCTCACTGTCCTGTGTCAGTACCTGTGCTTCCCACAGAGATGTTGGTAGGTAGCAACTCAAGAGCCTCCCTGGGGCCAGGAGTCTTGAAAGTATTTGAGAGCCCATTCAGGCCTCACAGCGGGATGAGTAGGCCTGACTGGCTGTACTGTGCTAGATGGGAAGCTTGGGGTTTGTGAGGTGAAGTGACTGCCCAAAGATACACAGTGAAGGTCAGAACTGTGTACCTGGGTGCCTGAGTTTAGGACTTGGGAATAATCACGATGCAAGAGTCCATCAAAAGTTCCAGTCAGTCAGGAGTGGTGGCACATGCCTGCAATCCCAGCACTCAGGAGGCTGAGGCAGGAGGATTAGCAAGTTCCAGGCTAGCCTAGGCTACAAAAGGGGTTCAAGGCTAGCCTGAGCTGTCTAGTGAGACCCTGCCTTAAAAAAAAAAAAATTCTGGTTAGCCTGATTTGCAAGTTTGTGTCTCACGCAGACACTTCTGGGCTCCATCTCTCGTACCAGCAAACCTAGAAATATGAAAGTGCTGGCTAAATCAGAGGTTGCTTTCATGAAATTCAGCCACTGCCACCAGGAGGAGGAACAGCAGGAATGTGGAGAAAGCCAGCCATACCCTGGGTCTTGACAAGGGGCTCAGAGGCAGGGACTTGGCCCAGGGGCACGGGGCGGGGCTGGCTGTTGCGCAGTCTGATTCTAGCCTGTGCTTTCCTTGCTGTGTGATCCGTGCAGTCTGGACAGGCACAGATGTGCAGGGAAGGGTTTTCCTTGGGAGGGAACAGCAGAAGCAAGGGCAGAGGGAAGTCAGGTGGGGGCATTTGGGACAGGGCCAGCACCCTGGCAGGGGTCTCTGCCAGCAGTTTGGGGGTCATGCACAGATGGCTGATAGTGGGTGCCCCAGCATTGCTGAAATAACTGAGGGGTGGGGGAGGGGCACGCAAAGCCCTGCAGCGCGGGGCCCCAGAGACAGGACTGGAGCACACAGAGGGGTGAAGTCCTGCTCCTTGTGGACCCTCATTGAGTGTCCCTCTGCAGCTTGGGAGGCTGTGGATGGACAGGAAGCGGCCATTCCTTCCGTGAGCTGCAGAATGGCCTCTGTGTGCAGCACAACAAAAAGGCTTTTCTGCCAAGTTGGAGGGGAGGAAGCGGCCAGCTCAGCCCGGCCTTGGCCTGAAAGGAGGCTCTGTTGGGGTCTTGGATGCACAGAATATAGGGGACAGGAGACAGGGCCTCCTCCATGCTGTCTGGTTCTCCAGCAGCACCAGGTGGGTGGGGCGGGGCAGGGCCATGGTGCACATCAGTGTGACCCAGCATGAGGCTTCCCCTACTCTGTGGCCTTGGCCAAGTCAGTCCCTTGGGCCCACTCCTCCTCCCAGGTAGGACATGAGTGGGGCGCAGGGCTCACAGGCACACTTTGCCTGTGCCTAGTGCCAGGCCTCTTGCCTGCACCTGAAAGCCTCCTACCCTCTGTTCACTGAGGACAGCCTGAGTTAGGTCATGTCACTCCCTCGACTGTAGCCCTTGTATTGCAGGTTGGGGTACAAGCTTGAGATGTTTTATACTGCAACTGCAAGCTCTGCTAACATGCCAAAAACAAGTTGGGAGGAAACACCACACTATTTTTGTTTGATTTTCTGAGGCAGGGTCTCACTTTGTAGCCCAGGCTGGCCCTGGACTTGTGGGGATCCTCCTGCCTCTGCCTCCCAAGCACTGGGACTGCAGTCAGGCACCACCACACCCAGCCAGAAATTCCTGTTGACATCGACTGACACCATTGTGCTGACTTCTGTTTTTCTTGTTCTTTAATGTCTCAATTTTCTTTCTTGGGAATTAGCAAAATATAAAAGAAAAAAGGCATTGGGGAAATGGGGTCCTGAGGGGCCCAAGCTGAGCTAGTGTGCTCACAATGGAAGGAGTCTAAAGATGCAGGCTGCTGTTAATCCTGGGGAGGAGGTGGGGTAAGGTCCCACTGGTATAGGCTGTGGCCCAGCTGTTACACCCCTCTCCCTGTCCCCCAAGAGGATAAACAGTACTCTTCCCACAGCCTGTCCCTTTGGACACTGGCTTTCTCCAAGGCTGTAGCTGGAGGCTGGGGGTGGAAGGCTCAGGCGGCTTCCTGAGGAGCGGAGGCTTCTGCCAAGTCTCTCCCCTGGCCTTGGCTCTGAGGAAGAGTACAGCGAGGGAGGCCTCTCGCCCTCTCCTTTCTCATCCCTCTCACACTGCTGCCCACCTGCCTGGGGACCCTTCAACTTCTGGGCAATGGTACAGGCAGAGGGCAGCCCTGGGTGGGACTCTGGACGTCTACAGCAGGAAATCTGGGATGATGGTGTTGGCCCTGGACCTGCTGTGGATGCCAAGGCCTCTGTGGTGAGGGAGCTCACAGGCCACTTCCTAGATGAGCTGAGGCTTTGGGCTTCCTACTCTCCTTAGCCAATTTCCACACAAAGAGAGGAAGGGGTGGGATCAAGGGGGCTGGGGCCCAGAACAGGCTGCAGGACTCTGTGGAGGACTTGTGGGGGCCTAGCCCGGTCTGGGATTGGAGCCGGGCCCCTCCTCAGGCTGCCCTTTGCATTCCGGGGGCCCAGCCTAGTAGCGCATAGGTGTGGCTGAGAACATGGGTGTGGGTCTAAGGCCGTCCTCCCAGCTACCAGTTACAGCCACACGTGCCCAGGGGTACCACCCCTTCGCTCTCTGTGCTTCTGAGGTTGCACCACATGCAGCCTGAGAGGCCTAGGGTGGGATTTTCTGCTGCTTCCAAGATGAAATATAGGCCTTGGTGTCCCCTCATCCTCTGAACAGTGTGGCCAGGGGAACTCTTGGAACCATGGTGGCCTCCTTTCCTAACTCTCTTTGTGCCCAGCTGCGGGCTCTTGTCCAAGACGGCTCCCAGGTTGCCCAGAACCCAGTCTGGGTCACTGGACTGGCTTGGCTCTTCCCACCCTCTCAGACCTGGAAGGCACGTGGGAAGCCGCATTGCCCTTTCTTGTTACTGACAAATGGCAAGCAGGTTCTGTCCTCTTCCCTACCGCACCTAGCAGGCTGACCTGCGCTGCCTCCTGTGGTCTGCTGAGGGTGGCCGTCTCCCCAAACCCTCAGCTCTAGCCATTGTGAAGCAGCCCTCTGAACTGACAATGGAGTGCATCCTTCACTTTGTGGGGGTCCCATCCTAGCTTGGACTTGAACCTCTGCCACTGACTGCAAGCTGCAGCCCAGGGCCTCTTACAAACAAGGCCACACTTGCCGGCTGTACATTTAATCAGTGCAGATTATTTACAGAAATAAACAGATGGGGCTGGACATCAGGCCCCATCCCCGCCCCTTGCTGGCTCTCCAGTTCTGCAGAAGTGGTGATGGGGAGGGGGGGAGCCACTGGACCCACACTCAGTGCCGAGTAATGAGAAGCAGGGAGAACCTTCTACCCCAGTGGGCTTGGGGATCCCAGGTGGCACAGCCCACTAGCTCAGGGTTGCAGGGAAGCAGAGGGGATGGAGCCGGCTGTACAGTACCATTTCCCACAGCAGCCTCAGCCTCCTGCTGACTTCGGGAAGGAAAAGAGAAAGGAGCATCCCTGCCTGCCCTCAAGCAGAGCCCAGGAAGAGGGGTCTCCCAGTTCACGGTGGGCTCCTTTAGGGCTTCCAGTCTGCATTGGGGGACAAACTGCTGGCCTGCTCCCACCAGTCTCCTGGGGGAACAGGGAACTGGAGAGGAGGTAACCCCAAGCCTGGTGTGCATGGCACATCAGTGGAAACCAGTCTAGGCACCGAGCAGCCCCCTTCCTCCCCAAAGGTCAGGACAGTCACAGCAGAAGCCGAGGCTGGGCGAGCTCCAAGACCTCTGAGGACAGTGGGGAGGGGCCCAGGGAAGGAGCAGGTGGGTCACAGCTGAGAGAAGCAGAGTCTGGGCAGAGCTGATGCCAGTGCTAGTGTTTGGGGAGGGCATTAGCAGGCTCCCTTTGGTCCTTGGTCAGGAAGGCCCAGGCCCCTCCCCAGAGAGGAAATGAGGCATGGGCTGAGCGGTAGGTGGGAGCTGCCCGCTGGTCAGATGGAGTAGGGTTCTCAGGCACCGGGAGCAGGGCCGCTGCTGAGGTGGGCTGGGAAGAAACCAAGTCTCACTGAGCCCCAGCCCCTGAGGATCCCAGGTGGGACACCTCACTAGCTCAGGGTTACCCCTGGTAACAAGCTCTTCCTAAGGCAGAGACTCGGGAGGTTGGAGACCCAGCTGATTCCTTCAGGGCAAACATAGCGCCCTGCTGATGGCCCTGGGCTCACACTGAGGACAGGCCAAGGCTGGCGGAAGCGCACAGCCCTTGAGTCACCTTCTGGAGGTGGGCCTCTGACTGTCTGTCCCTTGTTCTTCAGGCTATGGCTGGGCTACGGGTGCATGGGGGCCTGACTTCCTGTCTGGAGCAGAACTGCATAAAGAAAATTTAAGTACCCTGCCCTAGTCAGGAAAGCAGAAATGAACTAAGGTGCCAAAAAGAAAAAAGATACCTGGGCTTAAGTAAACGAGAAAGGATTCATGAGGGATGTATGCTGGCCGGGCGGGCCCCCACCAGACCAGGGTCTCCACAGGGAACCACAGGCGCTGCCCAGCCCTTGAGCACCAAGTGCGCAGTGGAGCGGGAGGCACGGGTCAGACCCACTCCTGCAGGGAGCGCTTGCAGTAGAGCAGCATGCGGGGAGCGCCCTTGCGCTGCATCTGCACCAGAGCATAGGCAACGCCCAGGACACAGAGCAGCAGCAGCAGGGGCACCAGCACCATCACCACGTTCACGGTCCGTGCCACCTCCTCCATCTGCACCACCACGCGGCTGCCCTCATCCCTGTCCTTGTCTCCATCTTCCCCTGTCCCATCATCCACATTGCCCTCCGTGCTGTCACCATCCACCCCAGGCTCTGCACCCCCATCAGGGTTGAAGGGTGGACGGGCCACATCGGGCCATCGTGGTCCGGGTTCCACATGCTCCTGGCAGCCCATAAAGTCCCGCAGGATGGACTTCGGGTAGCCAGGCTCCATCCGCAGGCGTTCATTGTCAAATTTCCAGTACTTGGTGCCCTTGTAGAAGTAGGTATAGGCTGCGGGGACAAGCAGGTCACAGTGGCTTCAGGCCAGGCCACCAGGTGGAGATTCTCAAAGAAGAATGCTTAAGGGGCCTCAACATGCCAGCCTAGGAGCTGGAGATGTAGTCCACTGGCAGAACATGTGACTAACACGCTTGGGGCCCTGGGCCCACTCACATCACCAAAGTCAAAAGAAACCAGCACAAAAGGCAAACAAAACCCCAAGTGCCTTCTTTCTTACTTCCTTCTCTAAGCATTTTGAAATACATTATTTTCCAACATTCAGCAGCCAGACTGAAGTTCAGAGGGGTTTGGGTCAAAGGCAGAATCCTGGATCCCATGGCTTAGCTGACAGGGTACAGGAGGATCCTGTAGTCTGCCAGGTTGGGGCCTGCAGTCAGAGAACCCTGCTGTCCTGTCCTGGGATTGGCCTCATCCCAGAGGCCAGTGTGGCCTTGGGCCTGCATGAACCTAGCTGCCTTGGAGTGGCTCTCCAGCCTTGGGGACCTTGCCTGTATCCCACTGACAATGGGAGGAGCAGCTTTGAAGTAGAGGGCAAGTCAGAGCACCTGCAGAGCAACCCACACACACCGAGGCTGCACTGGCAAAGCATGTGGGGTGTCCCCTGAGCCTGAGAATCTAAGCCCCCAAGAGAACCCAGGCTGATGGTTTTTCTTAAATCCAACAGGGACCCTGCTAGAGAAATAGCCACAGCTCCCCATAGCTCAGTGACAGAGCCAGGCAAATGTGACAGCTCAACACTGAGCCAAGCCCACCCCATGGAGTGTAAGGCTCCCGCAAAGACTTCTTGGCCATGGGATTTGAGGCACATCACTCAAGGTCTCTGGTATAGTCTGCCCTTCAGTAAGAAGGGGACAATGGTGATGCAGGAAAGGCCAAGCGGTCAGGAAGCCTCAGCCCAGAGCCTGACGTGGCTGTGGCCCCCCATTCATGCCACTGCAATACTGGGGACATTGGGCAAGACCTGTTCCCTATGCAGGGAGTAGGGCTGTGCTAAGTGCCAAGCAGATGGGGAGGTTACCTGCGTCATTGCTCAGGAAGGCGCCTTTGGGAGAGGTAGGGATGCCCTGCCAGACACTGATGGGCTTGGGGTAGCCGGGATCTCCATGCTGTGTCTCCTCGTTGAAGCGCCAGTACCTGTGATCAGAAGCATCAGGCCATGGACCGAGAGATCTGCTTGGACCAGCAGCCCAACCCACTGGCAGTGCACTCACCTGTCCTCCTGGAAGAAGAAGGTGTGCCCTGTGGGCTCCCACCAGATGGCTGTATCAATGCGGTCGTAGGGAATGCCCAGGCCATAGCTGGTCAGTGGCTGTGGATAGCCAGGTTCCAGATTTGCTTCTCGGAAGAGCCAGTAGCGGTCACCTGAAGGAGTAGGAGGCTGTGTGAGGCTGGCCTGGGGGCCGGGGCATGGCAGATACTCTTTGGGCCCCACCAGCCCACTCACGCTCACTGTTGTCCATCTTGGCACTCACACCGGTGTGCATACAGTCTTGATGTCCCATGCCCAGGACACACACAACACTGCTCGTGCCACCCCTACCCCCACTGAACACTCACGGACACCATGACACACTTTTTTCCAGGTGTACAAGTCAGCTATTCACACTGGACACACCCACATACAACACATATACATAGGCCTACATTTCCACATAGTTTTTGTAGAGGAACAGGAGGTCTCTGCCTGGCTTCTAGAACTGGTGACGGGGTACATGGACCAGTGTCCCTACTTTTAGTGGGCTCAGCCCTGTCCCCAGGGAGTTCCTGCCTCTCTGCAGTGCTGCCCCTCAAGGACTCTGTCATGTAGACAGACCAGCAGTGGGCTTGGGAACCTGCTCTTGGGAGGACAGCGGGCAGGGATGGGTAGAAATGGAGTGGAGGAGAGTGCTGCAGGCGGTGGGCAGAGCCGTGGCCCCAGTGTAGGCAGCCTCTGGAATGAAGGCCTGCTGAGTCAACCTGGCCTATTTCTACTCCCTTCGCCACCTCCTGCAAGTTGCACCAACTACTCCAGGTGTCCCTGTCCACAGGATGTTGTGAGCTGTAGTCCTTTGCCTCTCTTCTACCCTCAGGTTCAGCTGGGTCAGAAGTCTGGGCCTCAAGCTTCCCAGCACCTCCCACACACCTACCCAACTCACCTTTGAAAAAGACAAAGCGACCATCCTGGCGCTCATAGGCAGCACTGATGTCACCAGGCAGGCCACGCCAGAAGTGGCCGATGGGCATAGGATAGTTGTCTAGGACACGGTTGTGCCGGACTCGCCAGAACCAGCGGCCCTGAGGGGGGAGGTGTGGGTGTTGATGTGCAGCGATGCAAGCTGCCTTGGCTGGGAGAGAACAGAACTCTAACTGACCCTTTCCAGGTCAGGGAGGGCCAGGGGGAGGTCACTGAGCTTCACCAAGTACTTACTGCAGGGACAGCCTGGGCAGCGCTAGGGAGAGAGCTCTGAGCCTAGCAGGGGGCACCTGGGCTTGCCAGGACCCTATCATCTTCTTGGGGGTGGTTTTTCCTCTAGGGCCCCCAGGGGGCTGCTCAGCAGGGCAAGGTGGAGGTGCCTGAGAATCCAGGCAGGGCAAGCTTCTTGATGGGCGGGTGGGAGCTCCCTGTGGGGGAGAAGGGGGCCCAGGAGAGTGGGACCAGACCTTGAACACAAACATCTCTCCTCGAAGCACTGCCACTGTGTCGAAGTTGCCGTCACAGATGTTGGGGCCATACTGGTCAGGCCGCTCTGTGGTTCGGGGCTGGGCTGGAGGGCCTGGTTTTGGGGGCCTCTCTGGCTTCCCGCCTGGTGGTGGTGGCTGAGGGGGCCGAGGGGGCCGAGGGGGCCGGTGGTCTGGCCGGCCTGGCTGCCGGGGCGTCATGGTGGGGAGAGGCCGTGTGGGCTGTGGCTGACCATCTGGGGTGCCTACCGAGACAGACAGGGAGCAAGAGTGAGAGAGCAGCAACCCCAGAATACAGCCGAGATGCCACCTTCTGCTGCGCAGAATCCTGGGATCCCACATCCCCAGCAGCAGGACCACCCAAGTGCAAGGTCCTACTGTCACAGAGGACTCCTTTCCTCTACCCTGCATCACTCTTGGTGATGAAGTAGCAGCCCCCAGGGGAGGAGGGCCCATGGCAGGCCCAAGCTAGGTGAGGGAGTGCAGAGGGATGGGCTCTGGGACTCCAGGGCATCTTTGGTCTAACAGGAATATTGTTGAGGCTGAGGAAGTAAAGAGGGTCAGGAGGGGTCCCCTCGTGGCCCCCCTGGAACCACAGCATGGGCTTAAGGGCCAGGCCTGTGCTTGATCTCCAATACCACCACTTACCAAGTACCGTGAGCAAATCACGGATTCCCATTGGATCTGTTTCCTCATCTACACAGTGGTCAGGCAGCAGTGCCTGTGAGGCACAGGGCTGGGAACAGGCAGGCAGGGCCCACAAAGGCAGTCACTCACCATAGAGTTGCTGGATGCCCCGCAGGTCATCCTCGGGCAGCTGGAAGTTGTCGATGTCCATCCACTGGTAGAATGGTGCCATGATGGCGCTGGGGTTGCTGGAGTGCTCTAGCCCCAGAGCGTGGCCCAGCTCATGCACAGCCACCAGGAAAAGGCTGTTCCCTGTGGTGTAGGCAGGAGCAAGGACACCCTGAGCCACCCCAGCGCCTGGCCATCTGGGCGCTCTGGGCTGACGCTGCCACAGAGCCTGCCCTCGTTTCTCTCTTGGATGAGGCTGAGCTGCTCTGACTTCTGCCCTCTAGTTTCCCCATTGGAGGAACGGGCACAGCTAACCCCTCTCTTTCTACCTCCCATTGGAGGGGGCGGGACAGCAGACCAAGGTCTAATGCAGGCTCTGTAGCCAGACAGGGGAAGCTCTCTTCTTCCCACCCCGCAGCCGCTGCACCCACTCCGAGGGCCCATACGCAGCTCTGGCACTACTTCAGCCAGGCCAGCCGAGCTCACCATGAAGGTCAGTGCTGGAGAAGGTCCAGGGCTCATCTGCGTCGAAGTGGGTGTCCCCACCCAGGCCAGGGCCAGGGAAATAGGCGTGGGCCAGGAAGCCACCTGTGCCATCAAATGGTGAGCTGTCGCCATGGAAGCCGGACGCAAAGAGCACCATGATGTCTGCCTCCTTCTGCCGCCGTAGCCTGATGTCATCGTAAAGCACCTCCTGGAAGACCAGGGGCGTGGCCTGCTCCCACACACGGAAGGCCCTGCGCACTGCCTCCATGGAGTGGTACCAGCCCAGCTTCTCTGTGTAGTTCTGGATGCTGCAGTAGGCAGGGAGACCAGTGAGTGGACGTGGGGCCTGGGAACACACCTAAGGCTGTCACTATCAACTGTCAGTTTACTGTGATGTGAATCAGAATTGGTCAAACCCTGGTAGCTCATTAAAATTTCACTATGTAAGTTTGTATTAGGGCAGAAAAACCTTTTTTAAGTAAGAAAGTAAGTAAATAAAAGTACAGGTGCTTTGTGGCTCAACCTAGGAATGGGATCAGATGGCTGAGGTTGAGAAACCCAGGCCGAGCAGTTCTGAATGTGGACCCCGGCCAGGCAGATCCAGCTGTAGGCCTGGCTCTCATTTGATCCTTATGACCTTTGGCAAAGGACTACATCTCTGAATTTCAGTTTCTTCATTTTTAAAATGGGAAATGGAAGCCATACTTTCTTCCTGGGGGCCTTGTGAGGGTTAAATGAAGTAACTCATGAAGACTACAGCACAGAGCTTGCACAGGGTACAGTGTGAGGCGGCCCACTCCTAATTGAGCTTCTAATTAACTGTGCTTCTGTATGCTCGACAGACGTCCATGAAATGAAAGGGGGACTTTCGGCTGATTGGGCTGTGAATTCACCCTAGGGGCCTGAGGCCTAAGTGAGCTGAATTTTCTAGGCCTGGAGGTAAGGCCATGGCTGGACTGAAACAGGAAGGAATCCCTTAGAAGCCACCACATAGCCCAGGGGCTTTTCCTCAAGGAATCACCAGAAAACAGGAGAGTACCTGAGCAGGGGTTCCCGCAGGTGCCTTGCTGCCTGCCCCCTCCATGGATGCTTGGATCCCTAGTCCCCAGCCTTCTTCCCAGCCTCTCCCAAGACGTACTGCTGCAGGAGCCCATAGGGCCAGTGCAGTCAGCCAGATTTCTGGCTGGTGGGAGGCCGGGAAGGATGGAACTAAAGCAGCTCAAGGGTCCCGATATCTCTGGAGGGAGACCTGAGCATGTGGCTGGTCTCATCAGGGGAAGAGCGGGCTGGATTGTCTAGGTCAGTCTTCCTGGGGGTGGGCTGCTGGGACCTGAGTGAGGCTCAGCCCACTGAGAGGTGCACAATCATGAATTGGGTCCCTACCTGAAGGTCAGGTGGTGGTTATTCCACTTCCTCCCAGTTAGGGCGTAACGTTTCCGCCGTCGCCGCAGATTCGCTTTCACACGCACCCCAAACTGGTCTGGCACCCCACAGCGAGGCCGTTTCATCCACCTGGACCATAGATGCAGAGGGGTAAGCCTGGAGCTTCTCCTCAACACATCTGCCTGCTCTGGCTCCTCCTCTCCCATGTAGAGTCCAGTCTCCTCCCACCTCCCAGTTGCCCCTGCTCTGGATGGGATAGGGGTGGAAAGAGTCAACTTCCATTTCCAGTAAAACAGGTGAAACATTCCTGTGCTGGAAGACTGTACCCAGCACTGGTTGGTACAGGGGAGCCCCTTCTCACAGCCACCCATGGACAGGAGGGTTGCCCTGAAGGCCTGGTCCTTCATCTGTTATGGTCTGTGCTTCTTACAAGAAGTGGCTTTAGGTCTGCTCACCCATTAGCTCGAGAACAAGGCCTAGCAAGGAAGCCCTGTATGGGGCTTGTGCCTTGGCCTCCCCTACTTATTCAGTCTTGGATCTGGCCTCAAGGCTTGAGGCAGCCACTGCACCCAGTCCCAGTTGGCACAGAGAAACAAATCACCTGTTATTTGTTACCCAGGCCACTCTTTTCTGGAAACTCTGTATGTCAGACCCTCCTTAGAATAGGCAAGAGGAGGAAGAGGTGCTGGGGTGGGGGAGTGCCTGGGAGGAGGGACTCACGCCTTGGTCTCTTCATCGAGTACACCTGTGACGGGGATCCCATAGAAGCGCTGCATCTCTGCCAGGGCTGAGGCCAGGATCTGGGCCGAGCGCATGGTCGACATGTGGCGATTGGGCTGCGGCAGGTAGCCGTAGAGCCGCAGCCAGTTCTGCAGAGAAGCCCCAGTCCCATCAGCCAGTCCAGCACTGCCACCTCAGACATGCGCAGCCTGCCCCCAGAGCCTCTTAGCACCGCCACTGCCCCATCTGTCTGAGCATCATCGCCCCTGGCTGGGTGACCTATGGGTCTCTGGACTGGCCTCCCCACTTCCTTCCACCGTCCTTGTCCAGCCTCACCCAAGAGCAGAGCAGAAGGCAGAGCAAGTCAGGTCAATCACTCTTTGCTTGGAACCCTCAAGGGCCTCCCAGCCTAGAGGAAAAGCCAAATCCTACAGGAACCTATACGACCCTCACTCAGAGCCCCACCTTATCTCTCCGACCTCACTCACACCATCCACCCTAGCTGGGCCTCCCCTCAGCCTCCAAGCCTTGGCATGTGCTGTTCCTGCTGTCTGGAGCCCTCTTGTCCCACTCCAGGCTGAGGTTCTCAGTTCTTTAAGGTCTCTGCTTCAATATCTCCTTGTGAGAGGTGTTCTCCGACAACATGTAGAAAAGGCCCTGCTACCAGCTCACTGTACCCTGCACCCCTCTCCCCTTCCTTGCACTTGGCACACTATCTGCTTTACTGGGTGATTTTGTCCATGTTCCCCCAGGTGAACAAAATCATGCAGAAGGACACACTGCAGTCCCTCTCCTCATTACTGCACTGGCCCCTCCAGGCGCGGCCGTTGTCACTCCCAGCAGATTGCAAGGGACCGTCACAGGTTTCAAATCTCCTAGGACCTCACTGAGTAGGAAAACCCAACCCAGGGGTTTCTCCTCAGCGTGCCCTAAGTCTTCTAGAAGGAGAGCAGACAGTCCCACCTGGACTGAGAGCATAGAAGGCCCGAAGCCAAGTCCTTGCTCTCCCACAAACTATCATCTCTGGGCCTTGGCTTTCTCATCTGCAAAAGGGGGGATAATGGATTTGTTGGGATGACAGTTTAAGGGAGACAGCCCTAGGGAAAGCATCTGGGTCCATCCCTCCCAGCCACAGGAAGCTGGACAAATCTCACTCCTCACCATCCATCCATCCATCCATCCATCCATCCATCCATCCATCCATCCATCCATCCGTCCATCTGTGCATCCATCCATCCATCCATCCATCCATCCATCCATCCATCCATCCATCCATCCATCCAAGCCTCATCTTGTCAGGTTTCTGAGCACCCTCTCTGTGCCAGCTGGGGGCTGTGTGGAACATGGGTGAAGTACTCTGCCCTCTGGGCTTGCAGTCACCCTGAAGTCACCCACAGAATAGAACTTTATACTTGTAAGTTTGAGCAGATAAGACACTTGCAGTCATGGTGGGAGAGTGTCAGCCCCATGCGCCAGGCAGAGCAGTGGTGAAAAGGCCATTCTGTCCAGCCTGGCTGATGCCCTCAGGGCCAGGTGGCAGGGGGGAGCGAGGCCAGGGGCTGCTTGTCACATGCAAGCATGTCCTTCCCACCTTTCCTGGTCTGCCCAGGGCTGCTCTGAGTGGCTCTGGAAGGTGTGGGCTGCATATGGAGAGCCCTGAGGCAGGACAGTAGCAGACACAGTGGTGACTTTGGACTGACAGCCACCTATCTGGTGGCTAAGGCCACACCTACACATCTGCCTAGCACCATGCCCAACTCAGGTACTGGGGGCCCCAGTGTTATTCGCTAGCCCCACCCAGCTCAGCAGCCCCCAGGCTGCCATGGGCAGTGCAGAGTAGCTGCCAGAGAGGCAGTCTGCAGTCACTGCCAAGTGGCCTGCAGACCCAGGGAAGAGGCACAGAGCAAGGGGGCGGAGGCAGCAGGTGGCTCTGACACACAGTACTGGGCAGAGCCTGGCTGGGGGATCTCAGAGGCATGACTTCATGCTCCCTGGGCCTCAGCTGTCACCAGTAAATGGGGGGTGGGATTGATTTAGGGCCTGCCTCATCTCCCGGGTTCTACAAGGATTAAATGGGATAGCTGTTCAATGAATGTATCAGCGATGGAGACCAGAGGCCTGTCTGGCTGTCCCTGAGGCTGGCAGCCTCTTGCCTCTACAACAAAGCTGAAAGATCCCAGCTTCATGCACCTGACCAGGCACAACTGAAGGCAGGATAGCCTGTAGCTCTTCCACCAAAACTCACAACGTCCCTCAGCTCTGTCAGATGCTGGCCACGCCATAGCACAGGGCCTGTTCTTCCCAAAATTCTGTGGTGGTGGCAGGGGCAGTGGGTCCACTCCTCCGGCGTAATGGACAGTGTTGCTGAAGGTGCAGAGCCAGAGGGCAAGGTCATGCTGCAGGGCCAACTCTAACAGCAACAGGCATTCAGCTGGAGGCAGGGGCAGAGTGGGGGCTGCTGCTGACAGACGAGGGCACCTCTACATCACCTATTTGCATAAGGTAAAAATATCTCCGGGAGCACAATCACAGGCCACTGAGGGGCTGATTAGCGGTGTCTGCAGAGCGACAGGGGGAAGGGCAGGCAGGGCACAGGAGGCTCAGGCAGGGCCCTGGGGAGAGAAGGAGGGGAGGGGAGGGGAGGAAAGCTGAGCTAGCTTGTCTGTAGCTAAGAGCTCCAGAGAGCAGCAGAAGGGATGGGCAGAGGTGCTCTTCAATCCCAGGGCCAGCTCTGGGGCTTCCAGAAGGACCCGCAGGGGGCTTCGGCCCCCCCAGACAGGCAACTCTCTGAGTCTACAGGAAGCCACAGGCTTCTCATCCTCAGCCTAACCTCAGACCCTCAGCAGGCACTGCTGGCATGAAAAGGCAGAGATGGTGAGCCAGTGACGCCTGTTGGGCAGCAGGAGGAGGTAATCGGAACCACAGCCTTGGCACAGCAGCTGAGCCTCTAGTGACAAGGTGAAGCTGATGGCCTGCCTGGCTCTGGCACACACGTGCTCAGGGCGGCTGAATGCCAAGTGCCAATAAATCTACCCGGTGGCAGCAGACACCACCCACAGGGCTGAGGGCCTTTTCCTCTCCCAGTGTCCTGGGGGCATTTTCCTGTCCCATAGCCACTGCGCTAAGGGTGACAAGCTCTGGTGGTAAGGACAAGTTAGTAGAAGAAAGCTGGGGGAGGGGACTGCACAGGGGAGCGAGGCAGCTTCAGCCAGAGCCCCAGCTTACCAGGTGCTCTGCTACAACCCAGGGAGCGAACGGTGGGAACAGTTCCCAAGGTTGGGGACTTCCAGGCCCAGAGCAGGGCAGAGCTGCATCCAAGTCCTTATAGAAGCTGTCACTTCTACAGACTACCTCCTTTTCCTGTCACTCAGAATCTCACAGGAGGCATGAGCCAAGCAGATAAAGCCGTTTCTCAGGTGAGGAAACTGAGGTCAAGGAGATCGCGTAAGAGGCAGAATAGAGGAAGGATCTGAACTAGGGCTTGGTTTCTCCTCTCTGAGGGTTCCAGTGGCTGTGAGAGGGCTACCGTGCCGCAGGACCCCTCCCACTGTAGCTGAGGCAGGGCTGGTGCAGGAGACCCTGACACTGGTTCTCAGCCATTTCTTTCTCAATCTCCAGACCCCTCATTTAGTACCTATTAATGCTGCAGCTGAGTGGCTGGCTCAGGCAAGACAGGGGTGTCAGGAGTCAGAAAGGAGATTCCTGCCCCCAAGGTAGAGGCTATAATCGCAGCGTCTGAGAATCTGGTAAAGGCCAAGCTGCCTGTTCCCTTCACCCTATCTCAAGCTCACAATCAACCTCTGAAAGGTAAATATGTCGGCGTTCCTATTCTCACAGACAGTAAGGTTCAGAGAGGACAAGTTACCCAAACAGAGTCACACAGCTGATTCAGGCCAGAACTGCACTCATCAGTACTGCTATTAGACCCCAGGCTGTCACTGAAGTGCCACCTGCTCCTCTTGGCTTGAGGTGGGGACACTGGGCTCTGGCCCTTCTCAGGAACAATGCCCAGCTCAGCACTGCGGGAGGGCATCTAATCCTCCACTATCCCTGGCTGGCTCTGGGCACTGAGCCACTAGTGCCCTCCCCCAGGGCTACTGAGACAGTACAGAGGCGAGCCTACAGGGAAGGCTTGTCTGAGAAAGAGCTGCCAGATCAATACTGTACAGTAAGCAGTCATAAGCGATGGGGGTGGGGCCAGAGCCCACTCCTGCCCCAGCCAGCTCTTCAAGGGCTCCCATCAGTGGAGTTGGCCCACGAACAGACAGCCCGTTCCACACAGCCCTTATCAGGCCTGGGCGATAAGGAGGCTCTGCTTTGCCTCTCACCCAATTCTATTCAATCTGAGCAGGTCTGGGCAGGTTTGCTCAGCTAGGGACAAAAGGAGTCTTGTCAGGGCCACCAGCAGTGACCTCAGCTCCCAGATCTTTCAGGGCCTTGTGAGGTCCTCACTGTGCCCAAACCCCAACCCCATATCCCTGCCACTGATGGCTCTTGGAGTCAGGCCAAAGCTGTGCTGACTTTGCATGCCTAGCTGAGCTGGGCACTGGGTAGGTGCTGAATGGAGTGAGTCTGGGTGCCGCCAGAGACCCTGACAGAAACAGGACAGGCGTTCTAGGCCCACAGTGTCTGCCCCATCCAGGAGTCCACTCAGCAGCTGAAGGACCATAAGCAGATGCCGGACACATCCCACCCAAAGGGGGTGCAATGCCAGCAAGCTCCACTACCTGGCTTAGCCCTCCATAGGCAACAGCTTGGCCCAAGACTCATCCAGCCTGTAGCCCTGGCTGCTGCCCGCAAGCCCATCCATCTGGAGGCAGCAGTGAGTGCAATCTCCTCCTCATGCCGACAGGAAATCAGCCCCCCAGGGACACCTCTGCCCCTGATCCTGACTGCTCATCCATGTAGCAGGTGTTTGAATGGCTGAAATGGCTGACAGCTTCTCTGACCCTCACTTCTCTCTTCTGCAAAATGGGATCAATGCAGGACAGGGTTCAGGGCACAAATGTAACCAGTCTCAAGGCCAGTAAGGAAAGGGGCCTGACCAGGCCACCCAGTTCTAGGTGGCTTGCTTGATATCTTTAGGGTTGGCCAAGCTCAGATTTAATCAGTTCTAGGACCTCTGGGCTTACTTGGGGCTTTAATCTGCTTCCCTTAAAGAGAGTTGCAGATGGGATTCTGATGATTGCGAAAGTCCAGATGAGGAAGTAACTGCTCACACTAAAGCTGGCCTAGGGACGCTGGTGGTCGGGGACATCCAGTCAGGGAAGCAGGAAGGAGGAAATGTTCCAAGTTCTTGGCACTTCTTTGCCCTGCAGCCACCCAACCCACCCCTACACTCCTGAATCTGGAGGGAAAAACAGATGGGTCCTTTGGCCAGTCGGTGGGCAGGCACAGGGTGAAATCCGGCCTCTGTTTATCAAGAGTTTTGGGGCTGGAGGGGGGCCAGGCCTGTGGCTTCACCTGGAGCTCTCCTTCAGGCGAGTCCTAGAAGAGGCTACCCACAGGGGGCTCCCAGCTCCCACGGCTCAGGGTAGTGCCAGCTCTACCCCTGAAAACTCCTTCCAGCTCTACCCCTGAAAACTCCTTCCAAGGCCCAGCAAGGCTCCTGCCTGGCAAAGCTCCACAGGAGCTAACAGAATGGCACCCTGGCCTCTGACTTGCAGCTGGGGGTTGGGGACCCCTCTACAATGCAGTAATGTAGCACCCACACTAAGAGTTAAACAGAGAATGAAATGTAACATTTACAGAACACCCCTAGGCTGTGCCCAAGACAGAATTAATACATAGAAGATGCTCAAAAATAACACTGGAACCTCTCTGGGCCCCATCTGTAGCCGCTGCACACAGCTGTTTAGTATTTTACACATAAACACAACGAATCTCCCAGTAACTTCATCACATAGGTTCTATTTCTTTTATCACTTTATGGACAAGTAGACTGAGCTCAGACAGGCTTAGTAATGTGCCCAACAGCAAATGCCCACTGCTTCTGTCAATAGCTTCACCACTATTTTGCAAGCCCTTCCTTCCCATGTAACAGGTGCCATGCTCATAAGCACTAGACTTGGAGCTGAGGGCCCTCATTCCTCCAAGATGGCAGTTGCTCCCAGGGAGAGGAAAAGATGGAGCCGGGACCACAGGTCAACCCTGGAGAGCTGACCCAAAACTCAGCCTCTAGCTTAACAGCTCTGGTGGGGCAACCATCAGATGGCAGGGAATGGGGAACATCTCCAAGGGCTGCCTAGTGGCTGGTACCTAGGTCACTGTCCATCTATCCTGACCCCAGAGGCTGGGTTGGGTCTTCCTGCTTACTCCCTCTTCCCTCCAGGATGGGGTCTCACGAAAGGCCTGCCTCTCTGTGCTCCTGACCCAGCTCCAGCTCACACATCTCCGCCATTCTTTCCTAGGGCTATAAAATCTGTACCATTTCCAACAAAGGGCCCAGCCCCACCAGGACCTTCAGGAATCCTTGAACGCATGTCCTTTCAGGGAGCAACCCCATGAAGCCCCTAATTCTCAAGCCCTGGCACCCACTGTGTGTCTCAGGCCTGGAGCGTTCTGCTACCATCAGGGTCCTAGGTCTTCACACTCACCTGTGGGTTTTCCCAAGGCTGTACTCTCAGCCCCTCTCTACTTCTGCTGACTCTCCTGCTCTAAACAGAGTAGCTGCAGGGTTTTGCCCAACACTGAGTGTCTTACAGTGCTAGCCATGTAAGTCTCAGACAATTCTGAGGATGCCAACTTTGACCTGAGCTAGGAAACAGTGATGCTACCACAATGACCACCTCAGCTTGCCTCTGGCAGAAGCCAAACTCCAAGTTGGGTAGAGGTGACAATGGTAGAGAACATCTGGATCAAGCAACAAAAGGGGAATGGAGGGTAGCCAGAACCAAGCGGTTGGCAGGGAAGCTTTTCCAGGCCCACAGCATTGCCATCCTGAGCTTATACTGTGACCTGGAGGGCGATTACCGGGCTTTTAGAGGAACTCTTCTTGGAGAGTTATGGTATGTTTCTATGCTTTCCTGTCCCCACATTCAGGGATGTCTCTTAAAATTCTCCACCTTGTGCAAGGTAGGGCAAAAGAAGGTGTTTGTGTGTGGGGGGGGTCACCATGGGCAGGTCAGAACCATATGGTGCTTCTTGTGGGGAGCTGACTCGTGGCTGGGCCCAGGGGCAGCCCCAACACAGGGCCAGGGCAAGGGCTGGGTGAAAGGCATGGCCCCATCAGCTCCCAGACTCCAGCCTGGGAGAGGAGTGGCATGTTAGCAGCAAGAGGAGAACGTTCAGCTTTTGCAGGTTTGCAGAAACAGGGCCCTGCAAAGCATCCTTTTTTCTTCAAGGGTGGGCAGACAGCATCTGCACTATCTGTTCCTCCAGGGGCATGCCAGGGTCCAGCAATGAAATGTGAGTAAAGATGGGATCAATAAGAGCCTGTGGCTCACACCTCAGCCCTGTGGGGCCAAGGGAGAACTCAAATTGACCCCAACCCTCCTTTTGTTCGCTCTGTGGTCTGGTAGAGGCAGGAAGATACTCAGGGAAGGTGGTTGAGCCTGTTTTGGAAGTGATGACACCACAACTGTGAACTCTGGCAGCCTGAGTCATTGCCTCTGGGTGGGATGAGAGTGAAGTTGTGACTGGTGGTAGGGGGACAGGCAACTTCTCTAGTGAAAGATAGACACTGAAGTTGGCCAGAACTCTGGCCAGAAAGAACTGACCTGATTCAACCTGATGGGGGCGTGGAGTCTCTGCCCATTCAACCAGAGCTATAACTGGCACCTCAGCCAGGTGACTGTATGTTCCACAATGGCTAGAGACTGGGACCTGACTGACTTCCAAGTGCAGGAGTGAGATATAGCACAGTAGCTACTCTGGTGGCTTCCCTGAGAGACACAGTTTTCTATCTGGTTGGGACCTAGCAGGTTACTAGTGTCTCTCAGGCAGTTCTGGTCCGCCTTTTGATTCCTCAGCCTGATCAAGGGGGTGGGGGGAGGTTTGGCCTTTGCTCGGCTGCCAGGGTGCTCAGAGGTCTCAGACACAAGCAGATCAGAAGTCTGAACTTGTGGACATTTTGGGGTGAGGATGTGGACCCTGTTCAAGGCAGGAAGCTCTGGACAATGTATAAACTAAGTTTAGGAGTCTCTGAGCACATGGGCTACCTGCAGGGGCCACTGGACTCTTCGGGCCCTGATCTGGCCAAACCTCATGGGACTGCAGAGGCAGCCTGTACCCCAAAGCCAGCTCTTGGATCTAGGTCTGTCCTATCACTAGCCTATCTCTAGCCTTCTAGCTACAGAGTCTTCTCACATCCAAGTCTCCTTAAACCTCCCAAATTGACTTCCAAGGGGCTGGGGAGATGGCTCAGTGGAATAAGCGCTTCCCTGGCAAGCACAAGGGCCTGAGTTCAATCCCCAGTTCCGCCAAAAAAAAAAAAGAGAGAGAAAGAAAAGTGAACCAAATTGACTTCCAAGAGTGAGGCTTTCGGCCAGTCAGACTAGAGACTTCAGGTGATGGCTTGTGGCCTGACTACAGCCCAGGCTTTCTTCCTTGGTGCCAGGTGCCTCAGCCAGGAGGACACAGGGGTGGTGGTGGTGGTAACTGACTTGTAGAAGCCAAGGGAGTACGAAGAACTTCAAATCACAGGTCCAGCATCCTCAGACCTGGCTGTATAGTATGACCATTAGCAAAGCACCAAATCCAAACTCCAGCTTGGTCTGTAATCACCAGGGAATGGAAATGCCATCCCTAAATAGATTATGAACCTCTTAGGGGTGAATCTGTGACCCTAAGTTGTTTGGTCCTCCTGTGGCAGGTGGGCCCCACCTACCACCAGCAGATGCTCCTAACAAGTCTCAGTCTGCTGCCTGTGTGAAGATTGCTGGGGGTGGGCAGGGGACAGTGGCAGGGGCACTGGACAAGGGCTAAGCTCCCAAAGAGATGATCTGACACCCTGCAGCTTTCCCTGGCCTGGCCATGGTAGGAGGGCAAAGCAGGTAGGGAACTGGTTAGAGGTGTAACTTGAGCCCTTGAGGAATTCCCAGACCTTCCTCCAAGCTTTTATAAAAGTAGGGCGGGGAAGGAGCAGGCTTCCAGCGGAAAAATCTCCCAGGCAAACAGGGGAGGTGGGGAAGCCTCGGAGGGCTGGGCGGGAGCACCAGCTGGGCTGCAAATAGCAACAGCGTTTAGGCACTTGCTGGGCCTGCAGCCCGGGCAGCCCAAGGGCACTGAAGTGGGAGCTACCCCAGCCGGTTGCAGAGGAGGCTACAGGGTGGTCCTCTCTTCCCTACTCCTGGACAGTTTTCATACCTCCTACACACAGGTGGCAGCGACTAAGTCAGTTAAGAACTGGCCCTGTTTTTGCTCTGGGGCAACAGATTGGCACAGGGGGACCCCCTAGAACCATCATAGGATCAGGGCCAGCCGTGAGGCCGCACCCTGACCCCTATGGTCACCTGCAGGACCAATCTAGAGAAAAGAGGAATGAAGTCTACCCCCTCCCATCCAGGCTTCAGTAGTGTCAGAGAGAGAGATTTCTCTCCTTCGGAGCTTAAGCGGGAGTGGAGAAGCTTCCCAGCAAAAGCACAAGAAAGTCGCCAAAGAACCGCAGCAACCTGAGTCCGCTGCCTCGGCTATTCGCACCCCTCCCCCCTCCCTGGCCAGCCGAACAACAAACGTTGTCACCCAGGCCATAAGCTACCTATGCTGGAGCGCTGCCCACCTCCTGTTCCGCCCGGGTCCCCACCTCCGGCAGCCCCCTCCCCACTTGCAGAGAGCGACACAGTGCGCCAGTCTGGCTCTCGAGGAATCAACTGCCTGCGAGGGAAGGAAAGAGCGGAGGAAGGGCAGGGGGTGGCGGAAGAGGCGCCTGGAACTTGGACTGGGGAGGGTCAGGGCTCAAGGCAGGAGACCGGGTGGGGCCGGGGCCAGCTCTATGCCCTCTAGCGCTTTCGAAGAGGGGCACCGCAGCGGCCAGCTGGGGAGGGGCGGGTCCCGATCCCTCCTCCCCCAGCCAACCCTCAGCGGGACGCGAGCGCATCTGCGCTCCCCCACCTCTAGGACCTGGCTGCGGGAGTAGGCCCCCTCCCTCATTTCCCCGCCAAAGGGCAAGGCCAGGGTCCTAACCTCTGCATGGACTTCCGCGTCCTCCGCCGCTGTGCCGCGGCCCATGTAGCCCAGAAGCACCAGTAGCAGCAGCAGTCCGGGCCGCGCCGCCGCCTCCCGGCCGCCAAGGAGGCTGCCCGGCCGTCCCGGTGCGCTTCGGTCACTGCCCATGCCTTCGCCTCCCAGTCTCGTCTGGATCGCTGCACACTGAGCCCGCTCGCTCGTGGGCGCCGGGGCCCCGAGCGCGGCTCGGAAACTTGCGCTGCTCCCTGGCTCCCTGCCCGGCGGGCGCACAGCGGACCTTCGGCTCCGGGTCCCCGCCAGAGCCGCTAAGGTCCCCTCGGCAATTTCCCAAGGCCGAGGGGGAAGCGAGTAGGGCAGGTCCGGGTGCGCGAGCCAGCCGGCGGGAGAGGGGCCGGGCGGAGCTCCCTGTCTCCGAGTCCCGCAGCCTCGGCGCCCACCGCCCGGGCCGGGCTCCCGGGAGCAAGCGCGACTCCGGAGCCTTTGTCTGGCTCAGCGCTCCGGCCGCCCGGTCCCGCGGCGCCCCCTGCGCGCCCAGCTCCCTCTGTCCATGCCCAGGGCCCGGCGCTGCCCAGAGCGCGCGCCTCCTGCCCAGGGACTCTGCTGGCCGCTGCGCCCAGCCGGGCCCGGGTCCCCCAGGCAGTCCCGGGAAGAGCGCAGGGAACCCGTCCGAGCGAGCGAGCCAGGGAGTCGGCGCCCGACGTCCCCGGCGAGTTCAGCGCGGCTCCGGGCGCTTCCAGCCCTCCTCCTCGCGCGTGTGCCGCTCGCTCTTAAAGGGCCAGTGCGCTCCAGCAAGCGGACTCAGGCGGAGACGGGCGGTGCTATCCTAACCCAGGCTTCCTAGCAGCAGGTGCCTGCCCTCCAGCCCGTGGGTGGGTGGTCATCTTACTAGAGGGCGGCAACCTACTCTAGCCTTCCTCGCACCATCTACTTCTGGGTAGCGGGTGGGGGTGGTCCCCAACTCGATCCCCGCCAGGGAAGCCGCAAAGAAAAGTGTGGTCTCCCTGTCAGGGAAGAAAGAAAACACCTCCTTTTCCACCAGGAGGGTGGGAATGGAGAATACTGAAACAGAGGTGGGAGAGGAGGGCTGGAACTAGGGGATGGGCCCAAGTATTGTTTTGAGCTATTAAAAGTAAAGCAAAAGCAAGCCAACAAAACTAAACCCTCTGAAAGTTTATTGGCCTACGTTGGTCTTCAAAAACCCCAGTGGTAGGCTTTTGGACACAAAGTGAGAGGCTGGGCAGTGGAGTGTGCAGGGCGACTGAGGATGTGAACAAATTAACTTTTTAAGCCTCCGTGCCTTTATCTGGAAGGTAGGGCCAAGAACTGGGATTCTGGCTCCTGGTCTGCACAGCTGAGGTTTCTATGCAGAAGTAAACCATCATTTGATCATGTTACGCACAAGAGGAGTGCAGCAGTGTGGCCCTGACAAAGAGCAAGGTTGATGGGCAGATGTTCCTGTGGAGCTTGAAGTGCCAGATTTGATTCTATTCCGGGTGCATTGAGATCTTGGCTTTGTGGGTGCTGAAAGCCAGAGCTAGAGGCCTGGGTCGCTGAGCCTGTGTGCCAGAGGGCAGCCCTGGAGCTGTGCACTGGTGGACGGCAGGCAGGTCGGGAGATGAGGGGCTGAGGGCTACCTCCTCTAAGACCAGGCAACAGGAGCTTTCCCTATCTGAGGTTGGTTTATCCTGGAGTAGGTCCCAGCTGGCCTCCCCTTCCCAAAATCAGAGGCCAGACAGAGACAAATAGGCCAGAAATGGCTGTTTGAATTGATGTTAGGCAAAGGAAATCATTTCCACTAACTTCTCTGGAGCCCCTCATTTGGGAAATGGGTCTCTAAATTCTCTCCTTTGAAATTACTTCTGAGAAGTATAGTGGTTTTCAGAAGTGAACACTAGCACTGCCCTTGTGTAGTGAAACACATTGTGACCTTTGACAATGTTTATTCCCAATTAGACAATTTTTAAAAATGGTTTCTGGGGCTACTAAGTAATAAAGGAGCCCAGGAAGGTGAACAGCAGTCTTAGGTCTGTGATCAGAGAAGCCTGGCGATGGCTTTCCCTCTCATGGGGTCAGTCCTGCTTTAAGGAAATGGCTTAACCTGTGACCCACTCCCAGTGATTGGTTCTGGCTTCTGTAAGAAATCTGGGGCTTCCAAGGTGGGCTTATATCTTTACAAACATCACAGGGTGGCTAAATTTCTAGCCAGCACCCATGGTGTGAGGGGACCAGTGGGGCTTTGAACATTATCCATTTTGTATCACTTCCTGCAACACCCTCCACACGCACACACCTTCTTTTCTTGAAGTCTTGAATCAAAGTCTACACATGACATTTCATAGCACAGTTTTATGTTGAGAGATTAGTGTGGCATGAGAAAGCCCAATTAGACGCCAGGTTACTAGGCTCCTGCCCTGCCCTAATTTCCTGGATGATCTACAGCATATTATTCTGAGGTTTGCTTTCTCACTTGTAAGAGGGGGCTTCTGACCCAGCTAGTGGGTGAGGTCTCTCTCTTGTTCAGTTGCTAAGGGTAGCCACCTGGTTTCTGCCATCAAAGAGGAGGCTGCAACCAAGAATAAATCCTCTGGCTTCACTTGCTTTTAGTTACTTGCTTTTATCACCAGCTCTAGAAGTCCCAGACCTAAGCAGTATACACCCATTAGGTTTGCTATAGATAACCCTTCTGATGTGTAGGTCATGGCCATAAAGGCTAAGTTTCTCGGCAATGCAGAGGTAGCACAAGCCAGCTGAAACCATCCACGCTTCAGGTGGGCCTTGCAGGTGTCCGATGGGTGGCCTTCTGACATCAGAGGGCCAAATGCTCTATCCCTGAGCATGTGTCCTACCAAGGGCCTTGAAACTGGACTGCCAAGCACTGGACACTTTTCCCACGCCTCAGATCACCTACTTCCCTGTTCCATATGCCTTAACCCTGTCCTTGGGGAAGCAGATTTGAGACGTGAGACCCCTGCACCTCACATTCTACAGCCTAGTGGATAAAGTAACTCTTGCCAATAGCAGTGTTTCAGTGGTTGGCACAGTGCAAGGCTGCCGTGGGACTCCTGAGGCTAAGACAGGGAACACAATTCCCCTTTCCTCTGGAAAAAGTTGGGGTGGTCTGCAGAGGTGAAGGAGAGGGCCAGGTATGCAAGGTGGACATAGGCCAATATGGCCATGACATGACTATTTCCCTGTTCTTTGGGGAACATCTGAGGACATTGAAGGCAGATGTGTTGATTCTATACTCCCCATGTGACAAAACTCCCTCCAGGGGCATTCCTCCATGTGCCACACACCTAAGTGTGGACTCAGCCTGCTTGTCTTGCTTTCTGTCTCCCCAGTTTCTCAGGAGCAATCGCCTCTCACAGAAGAGCCCCAGCTGCTTCTGCACTGTCAGCGGGAGCACCGGCTGACACGCTCTGGCTGTGGCACGCTTGATGTCTGGGTGCTGGCCAAGGCCCTGCCGCCCAGCTTCCCCTAGGCAAAGCTCCTACTTCCTCCACTGCCACCTTCCACTCTCCATGGAGCAGGCACTTATTGATCTTGGCCATTCCTCAAAGTGGCTGCATTCTAATCCTATCCACAGCGCAGACAGAATCCCAAGCTGCGCCTTCCATAGGGGAGTACCAGTCAGCCATTTGCAGAAGTGCAAAACTGGGGGTGGGAATTCCTCTCTGTGAATCTTGCCTGCACCTCCCCGTGAGCACCCAGAGTGCCAGAACTCAACTGACTTATCCAGGTGCCCAATTCAAGACCTGTCATCAAGCAGGTGTCAGTCACCGGGGTTGCACAGCTACTTGCCATATTGCGTGAGACCCAGAAAGCACGTCTGGCTTTCCCTTCCTCTCCAGTGACCTCAAATGCCAAAAAGGCAAGTGACTAGTCCGTAGAGTCAGCAAATCAGTGTGGGGTGTTGGGGAAACAAGGCACGAATGAGATTTCCTGGGTCAGCAAACGGCCCACAGTTGCAGGGTCCCAGATGACGGCCCCTCTCTGCTACCCATTCCCCCAAGAAGTGGGGCAAGGGCTGGGGCACCTGGTTGTGCCAGGGCAGGAGTGGATCCAGGTTGAACCAGGCCTTCACCAGACCTCTCATGCCCCGGGCAAGCCACTTAACTTCTCCTTCCATAAAATAGTAATTATTTCTACCCTGTTTACTTTTTAGGAGGTTGCCAGGAAGAATAGATAAGAAGGTCTCAGAAGGACTGAGGGTGACCGCAGCATAAAGCCTACACGTCTGTGCTTACGCCAGTGAGCAGTGGGGCTGCCACTCCTGCCACATGCCGAGCCCTGGGCAACCTCTGTGTGCAGACCTGGCACACAGGAAAAACCTCCCGCTCTCCTGGGTTGCCGCCAGTGCCTCCCCAGCCTATCTTAGCAGTCACAACAGACTCCTGAGGGCCCACCCCCACGAAGACAGGCATCTCCCACCTCGGTAAAGAGAAGCAGTCCAAATCATTTTTATTTGATGAGCATGTTTTAAAATTGTAACAAAAATATTTCATCTATCACCAGAAATCAAGACAATAACTAGAAACAACTGGTTCTTCACCTTGATGAGTGAGGGCTTGATGAAAAAATCCTGTGCACCCCTGGCCCTCCCTTGGGCTCCTTCAGAGTGCCCAGGCTACAGGGCTCAGGAGGCGGCAGCAGAACTCTGCATGGAGGAGGTGGCCTCTGCCTTTTTGGGAAGGTGGACTGGGTACTTGGAAGTCACACAGCACTGGAGGCCAGCTCCTGGGCATGCCCAAGCCAAAATGAAACATCTGCTCTGTCTCCCCAGGTACCTGGCTGGGAGCGAGAGGGGGAAGGGAATGCAGAGACTGACGGGAACCACAAACTAGCACCCTGTATTCCTTGGCCCTGAAATGGCCTCTGCTGCCATGGGGGACTGAAAGTCAAACTAAGTAATAAAAGAGACACACTTGAAGGAGGAAGACAGACGCACAGCAATACCCTTTCTCTGTTTGACAGGGATGAGCCATGGTCCAATTTTAAAAGCCCTGTATGAGGCTGATGGCATCAAGACAGAAATCCCTGCAGAGGGAAGCGCGGGGAGAAGGGTAGTTCTTAAGGGTACTACAAGGGGATCCTGGCTGAGTGAGGTGGGCTCCCACCCTCACTTCTTTTTAACCTCAGAGTAAGAATTAAGGTCCAGGCTGCCCTCTACTGGTGACTTCAGGAATTACTACAACACAGTAGCATCCAACCTGTGACTGGGTCAGGGACTGGGGCCTTCCAGAGGCAAGAGCAGCCCCATGGATTTCAGCAGACTCCTCCATCTCTGGCGGACCTTGCCCTGCAGACGGGCCTGGGGCAAGGAAAGCTTCTGGCGTTCACCTCAAGGGCATGGAGAAGAACTTGTTCCCAGACTTGCAGCGGACCTGCTTGGCCTGCACTCGCAACAGCATCTCTGAGTCTTCAAACTCATCCATGATTTCCTTCAGCCAGCAGCCGAGAGAGGAAAGTCACATTACAGGCAATCTGAGACCCAGAGGGTACGACAAGCAAAGCCAGCCTAGCCACCTCCTTCAGAGGCCAGGTAATGCTGAGTGGGACACGAGCCATGCAGGCTCCACTCCCCCATGCAATTCTGTGAGGTCAGCCCTGTCACCCCCACTGACAGACAAGGACATGGACACTCAGAGCTCGGGGTTACAGAAGCTGGTGGAACCAGGATTGTGACCTGAGCCTGCTGGAGCTGGAAATCTGAGTTCTTCTCTGCCTTCTGCATGATTATGCTGAGTGAGGTCTCCACAGAGTACACATATTTTGTTTGGTTTGCAAAATATTTTCTAAAAACACCTGCCAACAGCTAAAGCTGGCTTCTCTTAAAAAACAAGTGCTCACAACACTAAGCCATATTCCTGCATGGCCTTACTCCCCACTGCCACCCTGTCAGGGCAAGAGTCGCAACTGTGAGTCACTGCTACACACACACTATCTTCTCTGAGGGCACCAACTACAAGGTGGACAATTTCATCTACTTATCAAAACACTACAGCTGCTAAGGGCTGTGTGTTCCTTATATCCAGTACACTCTACTCATTTCCAGAAACTTCCAGGCCCGTCACCAACCTCTGGGCAAGAGGCTAGAACTGCAGGGGAAGTCTGTAACCTCATTACTGATCACTGTTCTAGGGTAGCGCACATAAATTCTTAGCAAGCTTCTGAGACTGCAATTATGTTTTGCTTTGTCTGGGGTGGGGCCAAACTGCACAACGCTATAAAGCCTCCAGGGGCCGCTGATCCTGTCAGCCTAGGGACCACACTTTCAGAGTTGTGAGGTTGCTGTGGGCCCCTGCCACACTACTGGTATCTTAGGGATGAGGCTGTGGATGTGTCGTCTTTCCGCTCCCAGCGTCCCTGCCATCATTTCTCGAGTTCAGCTCCCTCTGTGCACCTGCCCTGGGAACTCACCTGTAGTTCCTGCAGACAATGCCCTTCCAGCTGAAGACACGCGTCACCCACGCACCAGGCCAGACTGACGTGGAATGAGGGGTCCTAGAAAGGTGGAGCAGGGAGACAGGCTGTCACCTGGCTGTCACTGCGGGCCCAGCTATCAGTGTATCTCTGTGCCAAGCCTACTGCATCCCTAACCTTCCCTGCGAGACTCTCAGTGCTGATCCCAAGCACCCTGCACAGACAGACAGAATTCTCCATCTGGCTGATCTATACTATCTGAATTGTGCCCCTGCCACCAACATCATTCACTGAAGCCCTAACCCCTACCGTGATGGCGCCTGGAAAGATGGCCTTCAGGAGACAGCTGGGGTGAGAGGGCCATGGGAGCCCAGAGGAGGATGGGTGCTGTCAGAGGAGGGAGGAGACGCTGCAGCAGATGCGCCCTTCCTCCTCCTGCAGGTGAGCGCAGTGAGTGGCAGCTGGCTCCCTGAGGCCTCATCAGCAATCAGTCATGCTCGCACCCAGACCGTGGATTTCTAGCCTGTGTTATGTGAGAAAATGAATTCCTGGGGTGTAAGCTCCCTAGCCTATATTTTATTGTGGTAGTTTGAGTCTGTTAGTCTTTAAATTTCAAATCATCAGATCTGGGGACATGGAAGAAGAGAACTCAGGCTCTGACTACTTTCTAACCTAGAACATCCTAAAAGATATCATACGTTTTAGGTGGCCAAAACCCAAAATGTCTACAATTCTGAAGAAATAATATCTACATTCCAAATTATACTTACATACTCAGCATGGTTTAAAAAACTGCACCAGATAGAAGCAATGGCCCTGTAAACCCTCAGTCCAATCTGGGTCCGCGGCTGGAGAGCACAGGGCAGGGGCAGCATGGCTTGGGAAGCTACTCTTCCTACGGGGCCAGTTTTACTAAAACATGTTGGGGACAGCTACTACTTATGAAATAGAAAACAGGGATACATTATAGAGCAGAAGGCCCACGTCTGAGCACATTTAAGGTATGCAAAGAAGTTTTAAAAATTGTGAGCTGGGCACAGTGCTATAGTCCCAGCACTCAGGAGGCTGAGGCAGGAGGATCACTTCAAGTTTGAGGCAATGTCTGGGTGGCACAGTCAGTTCAAGAGCATAATGAACTAACTCTGTCTCAAAAAAGAAAAGGGGAGAGAGAGAGAGAGAGAGAGAGAGAGAGAGAGAGAGAGAGAGAGAGATTGTGGACTTGATATGGGCCATACTCAATCACACCTCAAACCCTCCCTTCCCAGGGCAGTGTCCTCTGTGAGCTGCCATTTGGACACTCCACAATGGAAAGTTCTAGATTCTGGTGCAGGCTTCTTTAAGGGTGGTTTCAAAGCACTGAAGAAACAATAATTATTTCCATTCATTATCTCCAGCCCTATAAATTACCTGGTAGAAAGTGGTGAGGTCAAATTCCTCCATGACTCTGTCCACCTCTGAAACCAAGTCCAAGAACTGTTCATGCCCTGAGGTGACCTCAAGCCCAACAAAGGTCCTGGGGAAGAGGCAGAGGTGGAAACAACATGAGATGCAGTCTCAGAGAGCACAAACCACCCAAGCAGGAGTGAGGACAATTGAAGCCTAGAGGGCTTGGCTGTGGCCTCAGCTCATCCCCCCTGTGATTTCCCATGCTGCTCGAGAACCAACTGTCTCTATCCTCCCCATCCTGTTTTCAAACCTTCCTTCACTGTTCTCACCCAACTGTCTCCTCCTCCCCTGCATCTCACAACCCTTGCAGGGACACTGTCATCCATCTCTGAAAGTCTCCAAGGCCATGTGCTCAAGGTCCTCACTGTGGCTCCTGCTCCTACTGACCCCCCATGCAGCTTCCCCAGCCTTTGCTCTCTGATTCCAGCCTCCCTCCCACAAGCGCTCAGACAGGCTCTCCTTCGTAATTAGAACCCATGTCTTCAGCCCGTCTCAGTAAAATTTTGTGTGTTCCTCCTTTGTTTCAGAGGTGCTGAGAGCACAGGGTGGCCCAGTGAGTGAACTAGACAGGGAGGCTTCTTTGAAGCCTTGGTGATAACAATTACTTCTCATGCTCACGTATGTGCTTTAAACACTTATAAATTTTCAAAACCTACTACCTAAAATGGATAAATCAAGAAGAGGTAGGGGACGGCAAAGAGGGAAGGTCACAGAGGAGGGCCTTCGAGCCTAACATTACAGCCGTGGATGGGGCTGGCCAGGAACAGGCTCCCCCTCTGCTGGCATTCCCTTATGGCAGGGTGGTCTGCTCTACCTCTGTGGTACTCTCCTAGTTCATTTGCTTAACAAAACTCCAGGTTGGGGAATAGCTGCCTTGTAGCCATGGTTAAAAGACAAATAAAAAGCACTTCCTCACTCCATATTGGCACTTAAAATCTTCTGGTACAAATTTAAGGTCAGGAGGACCTACCTAGTTTTCTCTTGATTGGTATAAATCTTTACCCGGTTGGCAGTAAAGAGGAACCTGAAATTTAGGAGACAGACCATATTTCAGGAAAAGTAGCAAGAAAAAACAGTTTATGTTTCTACAAAATTATGTTTTCCCCCTATGGGTTGGGAATGTAGCTGAGCAGATTGCCTGGCATACGTGAGGCCCTGGGTATAATCCCCAGTACCACAAAACAGCAGCAAAAACAAAAAGCTCCAAGCAATCAAAAAGCAGTATTTTAAAAATATAGTTAACTTATTTTTCACTTCATTATGTAAGTGGTAACTGAATCTTACCACGTGAGTGTAGGTTAAGACTTAAAACCGCCCTGTTCAAGTAACGCAGCATCATTCACATGCCCACAAAAATTTACTAAGAACCGTTCATTCCAGGAAAAAACTTGAGACTATTTCAACTTTACTGATGAGAACTGAGAAAGCTTTATTCATCAAATTGGTGACAATAGTTCATTTGAGGGCCATTCATGCCTGGCAGGTTTGAAGAAAAAAAAAAAAGGACAACTGGCTTTATCTAAGCAGTAATAAGAGTATTTCTCATGCGCCGAAGGCTGAGCTGAGGGCCTGGTGTGCATCATCTTGTAGCATGCCCTGTCAGGGGAATACCACAATTAAACTCACTTTCCAGATAAGGAGACTGAAGCTTGGTAAGGTTGAATTTGCTGAGGCGGGATTCAAACTCAGTTCATCTGATCACAAAGCCCTTGTTCCCACCTGTGATGCTTTATTAAAGTGCTTCTGTGTTGGGAGTGAACGGGGCAGAAGCGTGCGAGTAAGGATCAGCCTCATGAATGCCACAGCGAGCAGCACCTCCTACAACGAATGGTTCTTGGGTAGAGCTTCCAGCTAAGAGAACTAGTGTAGGCAGGACACCCAAAGCCTTGGTCTCCCACCAGGGCCTGCAAACACTGTCTGCCCTTTCTGAGGCAGACTGTCTTTTTTCCCAAAGGACAGTAGGTCACCTCTGTCCAGCAAAATAAGGGATGCTTTCTCAGAGTGGAAAACGGCTTATAAAACTCTACTGGAAAGGAGAGAGTGTGGGTTTCAAGTTAGACCAATTGTCATCATTCCCCTGACTTTGGCTGAAGCTAACCCTAACCTTTCCAGGTAGCATCAGCCTGAAGATGCTAGTGGCTTTGTCACTGTGAGGAGGAACCCAACCCTGAGGGGGGCAAAGCTGAGACTGTAAGAAACAGGTGCCACTGGACAAATAGTCGCCACCATCCACTTGTGCACAAAGCCAGTGTGATCTCTGATCATTTTAGTTGAACTCCTTCAGGTTCAATGACTTTGGGCTGGGTTTCTGGATCTTGTGATCAAGAGGGACCAGATAACACACATCTGCCTCAGTAAATCTGATAGTGGAATCAGAAAGGGGAGTGATGAACTGGGTGGAGAGCTAAGGAACTGATTAGATTGGAGCAGATCCCTTCTTTCTCAGGCCCTCAGAAGGGGATCACCTAGAGGGCTCTTTTCCAATATCCTGGAGCTGCTCTATGGAATTCCTAGCTTATACTGAGCTGTGAGGGTGGGACTCTGGCGAGAAGGCATCTTTTTCTGTCCCATACATCACATCTACACAGTGGATGCTTGTGTGCCACCTCATTTGAACAAACAAAGGCTATACAGATAAAAACAGAAAACTACTCACCTTTCAAAGGAGGCCATACGGTCTTTCAGAGCCTGCATGAAAGGCAGGATCCAGTGGTGGCGCAGAACCACACTCTGAGACAGGCTGAGGTGGAATGCCTCCATCCTCACGAGCCGGGGCACATAGGTCTGGGCGTGGGGCAGCAGCACATCAAGCAGGTCCGGGAACTCCTCGCCGGCTTCATCTGGAGCAGAATGGAGAGGGGCCGTTATCTTAATTAGGGTGTCATGGCTGCTACAGGAGCCCATGGAGCAGACAGAAGCCCTTATTACTCTGGTTTTGAGAATAGCCTATGTCTACCTAGCTTAACGTTTTAGTACACATTTCCACTTATAGAAGCGACACATGCACCCTGTAAGAACTCAGGTACACAAGAAATATACAGGGGACTTCTAGTTTCCAGTCTAGCATATAAGCAGCTTGGAAGTTGTCACCCCACTTTAACAAATACAATGCTCAACAAACTGAAAGAACGGCAGCTTCTTGGAGCTCTGTAAGCAAAATGAGAGACCCACAGGTAAATACAGAGACTTAGACATGACTGGGCCAGAAACACTGGAGTTGAAATCTACTGGAAAGAGGGCCAGGACTGTAATGGTCAATGGTAACAGACAAACTTCTGGAGACTCAGGATGTAGAAATGAAGTTAGAAGCTCTGGGAGGACGCACAGGGCAACGGCTACACTGTGAAGTTTATCTCCTAGAGTTCTACCAGGTTTTCACAGAATTTTAGAGAAAAAAAAAAATCCTCTTGTGCTTTTGGCAGTGGACTGAAAAGAAACCACCTAGAAATGGCAGGAGTTGTTTTTCAGAGCAATGTCTACCTTAGAAAAAGGGCTGGCTGGGGCTGGTGAGATGGCTCAGTGGTCTAAAGCACCTACCTAGAACAAGCTTAGCAAAGCACAGGGACCTCGGTTCAATCCCCCAGCACCACATGCCAGCCAGCCCCCTGGTGAGCTAAGCTGGCCACACACACACACACACACACACACACACACACACACACACAAATAAATTAAAAAAGAAAAAGGGCTGGCTTTTACCGGAGCTTAACTCTGAGGAAAGGGAAACATTCAACCCCAGCTGCCTCAGGCCTTCCTGTCCCTGCTGAGAAGGGAAGAAACCAAAAGCCTGTGAGGATCACTGTGCTGAGGCTCTGGCTCACCAGCAGATGGGACCTGATCACAGGGCTGCAGCGGGCTCCCCCTCCCCCACCTCACCACCGCCTTACTGCAGGCCCACATACCAAGGTTCTTACACTGTGCACCACATCCAGCTACAAAGAACACATTATAAGATACAATCGACTGGCATAGTGGTGGACTTCTATAATCCCAGCACTGAAGAGGCTGAGGTAGGAGGATCACTAGTTCAAGGCTAGGTTGGGTTATGTCGTAAATTGAAGGGCAGCCTAAACTACACAATGAGACCCTCCCTCAAAAACCAAAAACAGGACCAATGAGATAGCTCAGTGGACTAAGTGCCTGCTTAGGCAAGCACAGGGCCCAGGTTCCATCCCCAGTACTGCATGCTGCACCAGCCAGTCCCTGGGTGCACTGAGTCAGTGAGCAAGTCTGGGTGTGGTGGTGCACGCTGTAATCCCAGCGCTGGGGAGGCTGAGAACAGAAGGATCACTACGAATCCAAACTGTGTAGTGAGACCCTGTACCAAATACATAAAAATGAAAAACAGCAACAACAACAAAACAAAACTAAAATAAGACTGAGCGTGGTGTTATATGCTTCTAATCCCAGCACTTGAGAGGTTAAAAATAGGAGAATCAATACAAGTTGGATCTGTGTAGTGAGACCCTGTAGACCCTATACTAAATACAAAAAAAAAAAAAAAAGAGGAAAAAGAGAAGACTCTAAAAAGTCAGTGACAAGATGACAAAAACTAGAAGAAAAACTTCAGAAAGAAGGGGACTAGAGGAAAGGGAAAAGAGAGTAATGGGGTTGAAAATGATCAAGATATATTAAATGCATGTGCCAATTTCCCCAAATGAACCTTGCTTTTATGTATTCCTAATATGGTATAATAAAACAAAAAAAAATAAATAAAGGTAAAACACATAATAAAAAGCAAAAATATAGTTCACAGAGACAGAATAAACATCAGAACTTTATAACAAATTTTAAAGACTATAAATCATATAATGTCTGATTTTAGGCTACAGTGTAAGTGAACTATAAATCAATGACAGAAAAATTAGCTAGAAAATATCAAGATGCTTAGAAATTAAATACCTCTAAGTACCACATGGATTAGAAAGGAAAGTCTCAAGAGAAATTTACAAATACAGTATTTTTGACTAAGTGAAAAAAATATAACCTGCCAAAACTTGTAAGATGCAGTAAGAGAAGTCCTGGGAAATATGTGTGTGAGTGTGTGTGTGTGTGTGTGTGTGTGTGTGTATTCACATACAAAAAGATTTAACATCTATCATTAAAGCATATATTAGAACAACTAAAAACTATCATTTAAGCCTCCATTTTAGGAATCTGGAAAAAGATGAGCAAATTCGATTCAAAGTAAAAGAAAAGAAAAGAAAGAAAAAAAAAAAAAAACAATGAAATTGAAATCAGAAAATTTACAAACAAAACCAAAAGCTGGTAGCTGGTAGGTTTGAACATGGCAGCATTCCCCAAAAGTCCATGTTCAGATTGCTATATCACTCAGTAGTTACAAGAAATGATAAGATACATTTCATTAAACTAAAATGTTCTGCTCTATGAAAGACACTGTCAAGAGAATAAAGAGGCAAGCTGGGCATGGTGGCACACACCTGTGATTCCAGGACCTGGGAACCTGAGAAGAAGGACTACAAATTTAAGCCCAGTCTGGGCAATTTAGTGACTTAGCAAGATCCTGTCTCAAAAAAATTTCCAAGAGAATAAATTTGGAGACTATTTATTTGCAAAATATATATCTGGTAAGGAGTACTAAAATATAGAAAGAACTTTTAAAACTCAGCAATAAGAAAACAACTTAATTAAAAGGCTCAAAATCTTAATATACATCTCACAGAAGATACACAGACAGCAAAAAGCACTTGAAAAGATGGGGCCCTGGGGCTGGAGAGATGGCTCAGTGGTCTAAAGCACCTACTTGAAACAAGCTTGGCAAAGCACAGGGACCTCGGTTCGATCCCCAGCACCACATGCCAGCCAGACCCGTCCCCTGGTGGGCTGAGCTGGCCACACACACACACACACAATAAATAAATGTAATAAATAAATATTAAAAAAAAAAAAAGATGAAGCCATGTCATAGGTCCCAGGGAAGTACAACTAAGCAACAATGGTGAGGTCCCACTCCACACCTACTAGAACACTGACAACACCAGCGCTGGGGGATGTGAAATAATGGGGCTCTTATTCATGTTGCTGCGTAGAAAGGGGTACAGCAATGGCAAAATACAGCTCAGTGGTTCCTTAAAAAGCTAGACATACAGTTACCATACAATCCAGCAACCCTGTTCCTAGTATTTATCCAAAGCTGAAAACTTATGTCCACACAAATGTCTATAGCAACTTCATTCATAATTGCCCAAACTTGGGAGCAAGCAAAATATCCTTTAGTAGGTAAACTGTGCTATATCCCAACAATGGAATATGTAGGGCTTGTTATGGTTTGTGTCTAGTTGTCCTCCTAAAGCCTCATGCAATTATGGGGCAGACTTTTAGAGTTGGTGATTAATTCATGATCCAGTGCTGGGATTATAGGTGTGAGCGCTATACCCGGCCTGGGGTGGACAGACTGAATGCAACTTAAGGGAGACAGACTTGCTCTCTGTGGCCGCCGCTGCTGCCGCTGCTCCTCCCTTTTGCCTTTGCTCTTTGCCATTTTCCGCCGCCATGAACTGCTGCATTCTGCAGTGTGCCTCTCTGCCTTGGAGCCAGCCAAGTATGGAATGAAACCTCCACAAACTGTGAGCTAAATAAACCTTTCCTTTCTTAATTTCTAGTACTGGGTATTTTGTCCCAGCAACAAGAGAAAAGTAACCAAGATATGGTTAAAAAGAAACTAGACAACAAGCCAAGACAAGACATGAAGGAACCTTAAATGCATATTAAGCAAAAGAAACCAATCTGAAAATGCTATGTATTTACTGATGCCAGCTATACATTCTGGGAAAGATACACCACAGAGATGGCTAAAAGGTCAGTGGCTAATGGGGTCAGACAGAGGAGAAACAGTGAAACTAGTCCATATGGTATATACTAGAGAGAAGCCTATAAATTTGCCCAAGCTTATAGAATGTATAACACCAAGAGTGAACCCTAATACAATCTATGGGCTCTGGGTGATTATGGGATGCCAATGGAGGCGAGTTGTGACAAATGTACTATTCTGGGTGATGGAGATAACAGGTGAGGCCACACAGTATAACAAGTGCCACTACTTACTCACATGGTACATAGACATGGGTGGCCCAGTTGCCGCGCTCATGGGGAAAAGTACGCATGCGTCCTCCGTGTTTGGCACTGTCATCCTCAGGCCTGTCATCTGGGAACATGTTCAGTACACTGTCAGGTACTGGAAACCTCTCCTTGGGAAGGGGGCTCTGGCCACTGCAAGAAAAATAAAAATAAAAGAGTACACTTATCCTCTTAGCATTCTCTAAGTGTGTACATACACACAATAAAAGTTGTAACCCTTTATACACGGTGACTCTGAGTGTGGATTTCCTGGCAGGGAACCGAGGTAGCTTCTAGAGAGCCACAGAGCCACCCTGGGGGTTCCCAACAACTCTGGAAGAACTTCTAGGGATCCCGGCCCCATGGGAATCACCTTGGGCAGGCAGCAATGTGTGGTTCAAAGGTCACATTCCCTGGCTGGGCAGGTCTGCGCTGCAGTAGGGTTCTGAGCTCTTGAACAAGGGATGTAGCACTTCTGCATATATTAGTTTGTTTCCTCACGTGTAAAGCACATTTCCACCTGACAGCGCTACTGTACAATCAAGTGAGCCACTGCTTGTAAAGCACTCGGCAAGTACAAGTATTTAAGAATCTAAGGCCTTACTAGATAAGAAGCTCTGATGGTTTTGTTTGCTGGAGTCTCCAGTCTGGTTCACAGCGGGTGTTCCATAACTACTGACGAATTAAAAAGATCTCCATGCGTCTAGCTATAATTACTACTGCAACTGTATTCTACCGCGGAAACTGAAGTAGGGTGGTACAACATCGCACTCCAGGGGAGAGAAGGCGCCACCACCGAGGCTGGCCCCGATCTAGTGCTCTCCTGCCTCCTACCCACGCCCGACGCTGGGACACTGGCTGCGCAGAGCTGCCCTCCGGACCCTCCTTTTCCTTCCCCGGAAGCCGTCGTGAGCCCCCACCCCCTTCCTGCAGCTCGGGTCCCGCTGGGGTCTCAAGCGAATCCCCGCCTTCCCGAAAGACTTCGTCGCTCCTCACCAGCGGCGACCCCTAGTCGCCGGCCCGGTCCGCCCGGCGACGGCCGTCTGGGTCTCATCCTCGGAGTCGCTGCTGCTGTAGCCCACCAGGGGCGCCGTGCTCATGGGGCCTCGCCCGAGACCGCAGGCCGGGTCCGCAGGCAACCTCAACCCGCGCCTGGAGTTCCGCTCAGCGGAAATGCGCCCGGGGGGCGGGGCTCAGGGTAGCACCGCCCGGGGGCGGGGCTGAGCTAGGGGCTGAGCTAGGAGCTGGCCAGTCTGCGCTCCGGCCTCCTGCTGGCTGCGGGTGCAGCGCTCTCTGGGCCTCGTGGGCCCGGCCGCCTCGGTGTGCCGGTTTCGCCGGTCCCCCCGGTCCCGGAGCACTCTGCGCAAAAGGGTGCAAAGTTCGGACGCCTGGGCCCCTCCGCGCAGAGCCGAGCTGGCGCTTAGAGGAGCGTCAACTGAAAAGACCCGAGGGTCCTAGAGGACCCGCGTCCGTCAGGTGCGGGAGTCGAGCCGGGGACCGCGCCCGGAGCCTCCTCCCCTGAGGCCCGGCGGAGTCGGCGCGGGAGGTGCG